ACATTAGAAAGGAAAAAAGAAAGTGAAAACTAAAAGCGTAAAAGACAGAGAAGTATTTTCATAATTTTGGTGTAAAGGCATAATAGACCATTTGCCCACACGTCAATTTTTATCATATAATGAAAGTGATATTTTGGTAATTTCATAGAGATTATTTATTAAATAATTATAAGAAAAGTGGTATTTTGTAATTATCAATGAGGACATGATAATAAATTTGAACATATGTTAACTTTTTATCATATAATGTAAATGGTATGTTGGAAATTTAATAATGGATTATTTAGTAATAATTATAAGAGAATGGATAGTTTAGTAATTATGGTATGAAGGTTAAATTGTCCATTTACCCACATATAACTCCTTATATTAGTAATTTCATAAAGAATTATTTAGTAAATAATTATAAGATAAGGGCATTTTCCTAATTTTGGTATAAGTGCATAATAGTTTATAACAAGAAATTGATGTGACCAAATTCACTATTATGACATTATACTATAGTTATGAAAATACCCATCCTTTTAGGGAATTATTTAGTAAATAATTCCCTAAAAATTACCAAAATACTCATTCTAATATATGATAAGAAATTGACATATGGTCAAATAGACTATTATGCTAACATATCATACTTATGAAAATACCCTGTTACTTATAATTATTTACTAAATAATTGCTTATTAAATTACCAAAATGTCTTTTCCATTATTTGAAAGAAATTATGCGTTTATACCATATTTATAAAAGTACCCCATTTGTTATAATTATTTATTAAATAATTTTTTATGAAATTATCAAAATATCTTTTTTATTATATTATAAGAAATTGACGTACAGTCAAATTGACTATTATGCCCTAATATCAATTATGAAAATACCCATTCTCTAATAATTATTAACTAAATAATCTCTTACAAAATTATCAAAATACCATTTCCATTACGTGGTAAAAAAATGACTTATGACCAAATTGACTATTATGTCATCATACTATAATTACGAAAATATCTCTTTTCTTATAATATTTACTAAATAATCCCCTATGAAATTACCAAAATATCTTTTTCAATATTTGATAAGAAATTATCATATGGCTAAATGGACTATTATACTCTCATATCATAGTTATAAAAATACATTTTTATAATTATTTACTAAATAATCCCTTATTAAATTATTAAAATACATTTTCCATTATATAATAAGAAATTAACATGTGGCTAAATTGACTATTATGCCCTTATATCATAAGTATGAAAATATCCATTCTTTTATAATTACTTACCAAATAATCATATATGAAATTACCAAAATGTCATTTTCGTTATATGATAAAAAATTGACATGTGGCTAAAATGATTATTATGCCATTATATCGTACCTATGAAAATACTCATTCTTTTATAATTATTTTCTAAATAATCCCTTATCAAATTACCAAAATGCCCTTTTAATTATATGATAAGAAATTGATATGAGGTTGAATTAACTATTATGCCCCTGTATGATAATTACGAAAATACCTCCTAAAGCCTTACTTAAGTAAGCTACAAGTCTTTCTTCTTGAGATAAGACTGCTCTTATACCAATTGCGCAAGTGTCAGTCTCCAAACAAAAAGGTTTAGAAAATTTTGGTAACATTAGAACAAGAGCTATACCCATAGCTTCTTTGAGTTGTTGGAATGTTGTAGTTATTTGTGAAGTCCAAAAGAAGTTGTCTTTTTTAAGCATGTCAATCAGTGGCTTGTTTGTCACTCTATACCATTTTATGAATTTTTTGTAATAACCAATAAGTCCCACCCCTTCATTGACTTCAAATTTTTTTGAAATGGCCGTGCCATCATTACTTCTACCTTTGAGGGATTAGTTGATACTCCATTTGCTAATATTATATGCCCTAAATATTCCACCTGCTTTTAACCAAAAAAACACATGTTTTCTTGGCAAATAATTGGTTAACTTTTAATGCCTCAAACACAAGTTGCAAGTGTACAACATAATTATTTAAGGTGGAACTATAAACAAGAATATCATAAAAAAAAAAAAAACAAAACAAAGTTTCTCAAATAGGAAGAAAACACCTCGTTCATCAGTGATTGAAATGTTACGGGTGCATTGGTCAACCTGAATGGCATCACCTTGAATTCATAATGGCCATGGTGAGTTTTGAAAGCTGTCTTATGAATGTCCTCAGCTTTAACTCTAATATGTCAGTAACCAAACCTTAAATCAATTTTGGAAAGGTAATTGGCACCTTTGAGCTCATCTAAGAGGTCTTCAACCACAGGGATTGAAAATTTATCCATGATCATCATAGCATTGAGCTACCTATAATCAATACACATTTTCTAGGATCTATTTTTCTTTCTTACTAATAGACAAGGTGATGCAAAAAGGCTCTTGTTGGTCTAAATGATAGAAGATGATAGCATCTTAATAACTTGATTTTCCACTTCAATTTTCTGGTAGTGTGGGAACCTATAAGGCTTGAGATTAACTGGTTAAGAACCAAGCTTGAAAGGTATCCCATGGTCATGAGATCTCGGTGGTGGCCACCCTAATGGCTCTTTAAAGACATTTGAGTATGCTTCAATCAATACCTATAGTTGTAGTGAAATTTCATTCCCTATATAATCCACATTGATAATGTATAGCTCACCTATTGCATCTGGATCCTTACCCACCATCTTTTGTAACTTTTTACTAGAAATGAATTTAACATTTATCGAATTCTGTTTTCTTTTGAGAATGACCTATTGACCATCATTTTGGAATTTAATTGTAAGCTCATTAAAGTCCAACAGTAAAGGATTATAGGCTTTCATCCAATTTACAACCAAAATCATATCATTGCTTCTTACAAGTAAAACTCTTAAATCATGAGAAAATACATTTCTTTGTATTGCCCAAGTCAACTCTTTACATTTAGCAGTGTTATATAGTTTTTTCCTATTAGCCACTATGATGGCTAAGGGATTGGTCTGTACAAATTCAACACCGTCTTTAACCCACTTTGGTGTAAGAAAGCTGTGGGTACTACCATTATCAATAAGAATGATGAGCGATTTTCCTTTAATAGAGCCTTTAATCCTTATAATGTTGTGCCTTACATTACCAATGCATTGATTGATGTAGGTTCACCAATTCATCCTACTCCTCACCAAGTTCTTATCTATCATTATTCTCTCCCCCATCAATGAGTTCATCCTTAACCTCATCATCAGCAGTAAAGGCATTAAGTTGTTTGGCTTTGAAAACATGTATTGAAACAAACTTCTCACCACACTTGAAACATAGGTTGTGAGCTCTCCTTTCATTATGCAATTGTCTGTTAAGAATAGGCAGTAGAGGTTGTATTGGCTTGCTTGCTGTATATGGTTGAATGTCTACTGGTTTTGCATAGGGTCCTATATTTGAAGATATGGTTGTTTTGGTAAAAGGCTTCTATCTCTTAGTTTCAAGGTCAAGCAAGAGTTTATGTAGCTTAGCTTGTCTGTAGGCATCCATTAAACTAGTAGGTACATTAGCTTTGACCTTGGATTTTAGGTCCTCATTGACCCCACTCACAAAGCTAGAAATGAAATATTCTTCATTTAAATCAGGGTTAAACTACAGCATGTATGGCTTCAATTCTTCAAATCTATCTTGATAGTCTTTCACTGTAGTTTTTTAAACTAGCTTATTAAATTTTTTTATCACATTCGAGTAAATCTTATCGCAAAACCTATCGCATAAATCCCAAGCAAACTCAGACCTAGTCACCGTATTTTTTTGCATAATGTAAATATTGAACTAGGTTTTTACTGTCCTTGACGAATACATTGCTGCCACTTCTAATTTTTGTTGATTTGAAATGAAAAAAATAGCAAAATACTTCTGACATTTCTTAATCCACCCTCAAGATTATGTCTACCAAAATTAGGTAGTTCAATATTAGATCTTAGGGCATATACATTTATAGCAATATAAGGGTACTACCCTCAATAAATTCATGGTTCTTGTATTGTTGTATTCTATCCTGAAAAATACTACTACTAGATTTAGGCTAAGTATTAACTAACAACCCTGGTTAATTGGTCTTACAAACATATTTGCTTTGGTCATCAATAGTGATTACAATAGGAGACTTACCATCTTTTTTTAGCAAAAAGGCAGTAGGTTAATTGCTATTGTAGTTGGTTGCTGTTGTAGTTGGCTGCACCTAAACTTGCGATGTTTTCTTTAGATTCGACAAATCCATACCTTATTGCACATACTTCTTATTTTCATTTAGCAGGGTTTTCTAATTCTCTACCAATATTGCCTTAATGTTTTTCTTCTATACTCCTACCATCTTGGAACAGTGTCTTGCATTTTTTTCTATTTTTTCCTGCAACACTTGAACTTGATCATGAATGCCATTATATCGAGTGCCTTCTACCATGGATGGGTGGTTGCTGTGTTTTCCTAAAGTGTTTGAATCTACGTGACTCTGATACTAATTTGTGATAAAATGAATAGTGAAGGAAAAGAGTATGAGGCCAGAAAAGAAAGAAAAGTTAAAGAGAGAATTTAATAGTAATTTTCATTCATAACTTTGAAATGATCGTTTACATGTTTATAACTCATTTCCAATATTTCCACTATCTTACGACAATCACATAACTATCATATAACTATTTTACTGTTCTCGCTATCACATAACTAATTGATAATCAAAGTTATTATACTTCACGTGACAGTTTATTAGCATATTTTGCTTCTTCCGGTTGTGACTTCATTTCCATTCTACTAGCACTTTCCTTCACAGTCCAAATCTTTTTATCATTTCATCATTCCTACAATTGGAATATAACATCATTGTGGCGAAAAGGGTTGAATGCTTAACGGGTCAGAATCCGATTGTGTGAACCAACAAGTTGGATGATGTTGCAGCTTTCATTTAGGGAGGGATGACTGGATTCGAATTTGAGTATATACATTAGAGGGAGTTATGAAAGGGGGAATCGAAGAAACAAAAGAAAATTGATTAAAACAAGCTAAAAATATATAAAATAAAAAAAGAAAAATTGCCGACCAGGTAATCATGGGAATTTACTTTCGAGAACTACATCGTGTTATCCTAGGGCAAGCCAATAATAAAAGCTTCAAGTATAAGACCAAACTTTTTTTAAACTAAACTAAAAAATTCTCGTATTCCACTAAACATCCCCCATCCATGGCAACTCTGAACAGCGTGGCCGGCCGTAAGCCCTCAGCACTTGTCAAACCCATCATTAAATCCCACGAGTTCCCAACTGACTCTCCAATTCTCCTCTCTATTTGTCTCTCCTACAAAGCCAACCCAAACCCATTAAAGCTCAGGACCAAAAACAGAAGAAATTGGGTCATTGAATCAGTCACAGAGGATAAAGAATTGGCTCCCGCGGAGACTAGCCATTTGGATGAAGCTAAGAAGCCTTTGTTCCCAAATGGGTCCAAAATTTTAGAGGCTTTTTTTTCTTCTTCTTCAAAGAGAGGAGGTGATGACGATGATGATAAGTTGAGTAGTAGAGCAATTAATGCCTCTATTGTTCTTGGATTTGGCACGCTGGCTGTCTCTAAGTTGCTTACTGTTGACCATGATTACTGGCATGTAAGTTAATCTCTTAGGTTTCCGTTTTTTGTTTTTGAATTTTCAATTCCAGTTTTAATTATAATTGAATCAAAGATTCGTTGCAAAAGAGCTTCTTTCTTTTGGTTTGCTCTTGTTTTGAGATGGGTATTTACAATTCGATAACAGTTTCCCACAGTTTCACTTCTTTCTTTGCTAGAGTTGGTTAGCCTCTGTTGTTCTTCCTTTTATGATTTTAATTTTGAAAGTTGAAGAGGTGTTTATAACTTTCTAAACTAACCATGATCGCTGAAGCTTTTTCGAAAAAAAAAAAAAGGGGGGGGGGTGTCTTAATTTATGATTTATCTAACTTAATTTTTTGTTTTCTTGAAGGAGGTATACTGATAAATTTTAGGTGCATGTAATTTTTCTTTCAAAAACCGTGTGAATGGACATGACTGGTTGAGCTTTTCAGCAAGTACCAAAATTGTTTATCTGCATGGAAGCTAGAATCCTTATAATAAAATGCAGTGAAAATTGAACTGCTAGAGTCTAGAGATTAGTTGTCCTGCTAGTTATTGTATTTTGCATCTCAGCATTTATTTGATTATTTTCAATGATTATCAGGGATGGACACTTTTTGAGGTGCTCCGATATGCTCCAGAGCATAATTGGATTGCATACGAACAAGCTCTTAAAGCCAACCCAGTGTTAGCCAAAATGGCAATAAGTGGGATCGTCTATTCAATAGGAGATTGGATTGCCCAAGTAATTCTCCCCCTTCCCGCACCCTCTCAATAAATGCATTAAACTTAACCATAAGCTGCATTCAGCTCATATTGTGTAACCTATGTGTAGTGTTATGAAGGACAGCCTCTTTTTGACTTTGACCTGACACGCATGTTTAGATCAGGCCTTGTTGGATTTACTCTCCATGGATCCCTTTCTCATTATTATTACCAATTTTGTGAGGTAATAGCTGTGATTCATAGTGTATACATTTTACTGCTTTGATTTCTCATTTTTCCATGGAGCAATGAAATCAGTCACTTTGAGTTCCAGGCTCTATTTCCTTTGCAAGAGTGGTGGGTGCTTCCTGTGAAAGTTATCTTTGACCAAACAGTTTGGGCAGCAGTCTGGAATAGCATCTATTACGTAGTTTTGGGGTTCTTGCGTTTTGAATCCTTGGCTAATATCTATAGAGAACTCAAGTCAACATTTTGGCCTATGCTGACTGTAAGAAGTTTTTCTTCTGTTTTTCTCTATGCAAATTTTGGGTGTCATTGATTGTTGTATGCATTGTAAATCTAGGATGTGGTTTACACGTGATTCTTGCTGGACTGAAATTCTATTTTCAGGCCTTATTTTTCCTTTAACCATTGTCAATGTAAAATGTGGCTACAAGTCTTATAGATTTCTTGGTGGTTTTGGGAAACATTTCAGATTTAATCAACATCAAAGCTTCCTACCTCTTGTTCATGATGTGTCGAAGGTTTTATATTTTCTTCACCTGCAGGGACCATATAATCAGCATAGACAAAAAACAGCCCAGGGAAAGAGAAACCCATCTTCCCAGCAAATTGTATATTTAAAAATAATAATAACTAACTGGTTTCAAACAGTCTTTAACTCACACCCACCTGTCAAACAATGCCTATGCTGCAAACTGTTTTGATTGATTCCCACTTCTTATCATAGTGAATAGGGAAACTGTGCATAGCTTTTTGGTGGTAATGAAAAATCAAAAAACAAATGTATATGCTGATGTGGTTCACCAACACTGGTGCACATTGAAGATTCATGGTGCAAAGCAAACTGAATTATTCTTCTAAATAATTCTACTAGAGGTTTCTGTATTGTAAATATTTGGAAACTTGATTATTGACTGCCATGTTTGTTCTGTACTAAGGTTTGATCAATGTGCAGTTAGCCACCTTTTTATTTATATCTCATGCTAAGCATGATTTATTGTTGACACATCGCACGAAACTTTACAGGCAGGTTGGAAACTTTGGCCATTTGCTCACGTGATTACCTATGGTGTGATTCCTGTTGAACAAAGGCTTCTTTGGGTTGACTGTGTGGAGCTTATCTGGGTGACAATATTGTCAACGTAGGTATCTGTGTCATCTTGTCTAATCTATGAAGAAATATGTGACTGTTTCTGCAGAATGTTCTTAGTATATTGTTTAGTTGCTACAAGTATATCACCTTTTATTAGATGTTAGTATGACCTTTTCTCTCCATTTTCAGCCGTCCTCTTGTCCCCTGCATTCTTGACAACAAAATTGCAGAACCAGGATTTTATGCTATTGAGGCCTCTAAATGTTTATCCTTTTCTCATTAATCCCTGTATAATTGTTAGACATTTTTCTTTCTAGTTGGTCTCTCTTTTGACAGATCTTCAAATATGTTACTATTATATACTAGCTTGTCATATAATGTGATACATTTCCTTGGTAATGTCTTCAGAAGTATTGTGCAACAGAATTGCTGGTTTTTCTCTTTCTTTCAATAACTGTTATATTTGTTTCAAGTGTTTCAATAGGAATTCCTTTCTAAAACTGGCTAATCTTTTTTCTTGAAGTTATTCTAATGAGAAATCAGAAGCACGAATATCTGAGGCAACGGTGGAAGCAGACTCTAGTTCATCAAGCAATCCTCCCAAGGTACAAGACAAGTAGACAACTACACTCCTACTCATAAGTATTCTTGTACCACTCTCCACTGAATTTTTGTTTGATAATTGAATGTTTACATAGTATCACCAAATGCAGAAGCTAATTTTAGATTCCATTTCACACTTTTTTTAAACCAATTGAAAAATTGATTTATGGTCTGAAGTTCATCTTTTGGCACCCACTCCCCTCCCACCTCCTTTGCCTAAACAGAGTGGAAGAAGACCTACTGACTAGCATGGAACACTACATCAATAGTGCTCTAATGTATTTCTACAAATGTTATTTGTCAGGAATAAACTAATTCGAATCAAGTGTCATAGTTGTCAAGAGAGATCAATAACATCATTTTGGTGAGTCAAAACCGAAGATTGATTCCCGTGGGATTACTTATGGTGCAAGAGTAATCAGAATGCGAAGTTCTCGACAGAAGGAATTTCATCGAAATACGACAGCGTATAACTTTTTAACTTTTCTACCTTAGTCTTTCAGATATATAGAGAGCAAACGCGGCGACGGATGAGGCTTAGCTTAAATAGTATCAGGGCAAGTTTAGTAATCTAGACCCAGCATGATTCCGCCCTTTCCCATCCAAATAAGTTTTAAGATTGTGTTATATTTTTTTTAATGTATAAATTAGTTATTCTTGTATTCAACTGGCCTGCAATATGTTATTAGGTTCAATTAATCATTAATGAAATTGTTGTACAATATTCTACATTTAGTTTCTGTATCTTTGTCTATTGTCCTCTTTTTCTTTCTTTTTTTTTTTTTTTTGCCTTTTTCTTTATTACTAGTAATCAATATTCATTTTCTAACATCTTCAAATATAAAAAAGTTTATCAATTATTAACAATTAAGTTGTAATTTATTTACTATTATATTATTAGCGATTTATTACTAAATTATCAATAATATATTATTAAATTTTTAATGCTTGACCACTAAATTCGTATTGATTTATTATTAAATTATGATTGATTTAATATTAAGTTATTGATTATTACTATTAAATTATTGATAATTTATTATAAAATTATAATTAATTATTATTAATTTATCAATGATTTATCATAAAATTATCAATTATTAATTAATTTGCTACTAAATATCACTTATTTACAATTAAATTATTAATAATTTATTATTAAGTTGTCAATAATTTACATATAACTTATCAATGATTTACTATTGTGTTATCGTACATTTATTACAATGTTATCATTATTTACTACTTAGGTTTCAATTATTTAGTGTAAAATATCACAGATTTATTACAAAATTAATTATGATTCATTATCAAGTTATCATTTATTCGTATTAAATAATCCATAGTTTACTATTAAATTATCATTAATTAATTATTAAGTTATTGATGATTAACTACTATTAAATTATATTGATTTATTTTTATGTTTCCAATGATTCATAACTAAATTATCATTGATTTACTATTAAGTTATTATCATTTATACTAAATTTATCAATTAATTACTATTAAATTAAAATTGATTTAATATTAATTTCTCACTAATTTACTATTAAGTTATCATTGATTTTATTAAATTATTAATTATTAACTACTAAGTTATCAATTTTTTTATTAACCTATCATTGATTTACTAATATATTGTTATGTATTTACAATATGACACATAAAATTTAAATGTCCACTAATAATATATGAGATAATTTTTTTTATATAATAATATTATTATTTTATTCAAGTTTATAATTTTTCACTAATTTTTAATTGAATATGTTTATGGTAGGTTTATCTTAATTTCTAAAATAAAAGTCTTGACTTCGTTTCTATTATTACCACTAAGTTATTAATGATTTTTGCAAAGTTATAACTGATTTGCTATTAATTTTTCAATGATTTATTGTTTAATATTAAATTATGCATGATTTATTATTAAGTTATTATTGATTAATTATTATGTTATCAATGATTTACTATTAAATTATATTGATTTACTTTTAAATTTTCAATGAATGACTACCAAATTATCAATTATTTGCTATTAATTTATAATTGATTTATTATTAAGTTATTTATCATTTACTATTATCAATTAATTACTATTAAATTGAAATTAATTTATTATTAAATTATCACTATTTTACTATTAAGTTATCATTAATTTATTACTAAGCTATCAATAATTAACTACTAAGTTATTACTTATTTTTTGTTAAGTTATCATTGATTTAATACTATGCTATTATGCATTTATAATTATATTATAATTGCTTTACCATTAAAGTATTAAGTATTTATGGTTATATTATTATTGATTTACTAAAAAATTATCAATTATTGACTACTAGATTATCTTTTATTTACTATTAAGTTATCGATAATTACTATTAAGTTATACTGATTATATTTAAGTTTTCAATGATTAATTATTAAGTTAGTAATTATTTACTATTATGTTATCATTCAGTTATGCATATTGAAAAAGAAAATAATTGTAATGTATGTTAAATGATGTAATTTGTAAGATAGAGAAAGAAAGAAGAAAAAATTCAAGTGTAAATGATTTGAAAATCATGAATAAATGCTTTTAATTTACTATCAATAGTTTAACAAGTAATAATAAGTTTAAATAATAACTTTTTATACTAATGCAAGTTTTAAAACTAAATTAAATAAATTTAGACAACATACATTAAGTCAACATTTCAAAAATTTTTAGTTCATTATAAAATAATACATATTAAGATAAACTTTATTAAAGATTTGATTGAATTTTTAGTTTATACGTTTTCATACTTGTTAGCAAAATACAATTGCCTATAAAAGATTAAAAATTTGAAGTATTCTATTTCAAATGGAAGTAATAAATATTGCTTTATATTTCTATCTTTAAGTATATAATTTGGGTAAAAAATTTTTATATAAGTGATAAAAGTAATGAGAACAAATTATTAAATAAAATTTATAAAAATTAAACAAACCACAATTTTAAAAATATTAAATTCACAATAATTGCATTTGCAATCTTCATAAAAATTTCTCCTACTAAACAAAAAGATGGAATGTATTCAATTATTTCTTTATTATTATTACCATCATTTAAAAATGATTTTTTTGATATTTTGATGCCAATTAACTTTTCCATTTAAATAAAGTAAAGAATATATGGATCATAACAATTCAAATAATATTTATCTCTATGTTTTCTTCTTGAATAAGTATGAACTATAAGATCTCTTTCAAATGAAATGTTTGAATTATTTTCCTGAACCCATATAATAGCAACTTGACCAATAAATGAATGATTATAAACTCGTTGATTTATATTAATATTTGTACAATATAAATTTCAAAATCCTCAAAAAAAGATTTATCATTTAATCTCTGTAGAACTTAGACATAAGGATTTTCTTCTAAAATTATTATTAGTTTCTCTATCATTTTTGCACTTAAATTTTTATTATGCTGTGTTCTCATTTTATTTTGAAATTTATTATTGATGTCATAAAAGTGTAGCTAAAATAATATAAATTAATCAACTCAAACTTGAAACAATTTAAAACTCAAATTGAGTATAAATAAAATTTTTATTTATTTTAAATTTTAATTTAATTAAAAATAATATAATACACATAATTATAAAATGAACTAAATTAACTCAATTTTAATTTATTTTAAAAATCAATAACTTATTAGTTATTTAAAACCTAAAATGATTGAACATAATCAAAATCCAAATTGAAATAGTAACCTACTCAAATCTAATATTTTTTAGTCATCTTTAGTAATAATTTAAAAGTTCTTTATTTAAACGTTTTTTCTTTCATCTTCAATGTCTTATTTTTATTGTATTTGTGGTTGAATTAATTAATTAATTTTAAAAGTATTTCTAAAATAGAATTACAAGTATAAATAATTGAGCATATATTTTTTTTATTTTGATCTAAGACGGTTTAAATCCATCTTTTTAAATAAAAAGAAACATGCACCAATTATTGAGTTAAATTTATAATCTTTTTCCTTTAATTTCTCTTTATAATTAATCTAATGCAAATCAATTGTACCCTTTTTCACCAATAATTAAAACTATGTGATTCATTGAACACTTTAGACTTTTCATATAATCATTATCTCTTTAGTACAATTCTAAAATTTCAAAGGAAAAAAATACTAAAGAGAAATTAATTATAAAGGTTACACTAAAATGTAAAAATGATATATTAAAAAATTATTTCAAGAAACTAAAACAGTTTAATTATTTTATCGATAATTAAATGATCAACTCATAAAACATATAAATAATAAATCATTATCATACATATATAGTTAATATATTAAAACAAAAAATTGAAAGGCAATAAATTAAAAAAAAACAAATATGCTTAATTGACTTAATTATGATTATTTTTAATAAATTTATTTATTAATATAAACTGCATATGCAATTGTTTTTATAATAATTAAAGAAACAAATTTCATATAATTTTTTTATTTGTATTTTCATTTAACGTGAAAAATTATTCCACCAATAAAAAAGAATTTAATAATAAAAATTAAATCATTTAAATTAAATTTTATAAAAATTACTAATGGTATTTTAATTGATCACTATTAGTATTTTTGGAATTAGAATTTTATTAAGGGCTTAATCAATCACTTTTAGCACTTTTATAGTTTAATTATAAAAAAGAGTCTAACAATTAAAAAATTTATTTAAATTACATTTATAAAAAAATTTACTAAAAATATTTTAGTCAATCACTTTTAGAATTAAAATTTTAAAATTTTAAATAGTTTAATTTTTCATAAACTCTATTTTTAATTCTAGTCAATTTAAATTAAATTTAAATAAATTAATATAAGTTATATATTTAAGGGTAAATTTGTTAATTTAAAAATTTATTGGGATATTTAGGTTGATAACTATTAATATTTAAATTTACACTTTTATATATAAATATAAATATAAAGCCCCAATTGTATGCTTATTATCCGCTTTTTTCTAGGATAATTTTAAACATAATTTGATAATATGATAAGAAAATTATAAAAAAAATAATTTAAAAGCGATATAATTAAAATTTTAACAAGAATCTTATATAAATCTAACAAAAATTTAAAAAAAATTTCATATTTAGTATATTAACATAAATTATGATGTAATAATTTTTATATTATATATATTAGATAAAAATAAATTTGACGTAAATGCATGAATTATCAAATCTATCTTTGTAATGTAGCAAATGAGAATCATAAACAAATGGTTAGCAATCTAATTAACTACCCATGCCAATTAATCCAAGAAAAAAAAATATGCCAATGATAAAAGTTTTGGCCTGTATCAGCACTGAGAGGGCGAATATAGAATTAGCAAAAATGGAGATAAAATGAAAGTCCAAAAACTTTATGAGTCTTAAAGCTTCACGTGCAATGCACGTGCCTTTACAGATTGCAAAACGCGCGGGAGAAACTGGTTCTGGAAAGTACTAACGGTAAAAACATTAATACGATTACCAAAAAAAAAAAAAAATCATAATAAAAATCGAAGGCCAAATCCCACATCCCCAAACCTTGTTCCAGTGAAATCCCTAAATCTATTGATACAATGGCCCAATTCGAAGCATTAAATGAGTCGAAAAAGAAGCAGCAAAAAGGAAATCATGGGTCAACCAAGTTGTTCGTAATGTTTTGGACTACCTTTTCATCTTCGTCTTCTTCTTTTTCCTTACTTTCATTCTCCTCTAGATGCTTCATTTCTTCTGGTTTTTCTTCCACTTTCTTCCAATTAGGTCATTCATTTCTTTCCTTTATTGAATACCCATTTGGCCATTTCAAAATTCAAATGCGTAGGGTATTTGCTTTTATTGATTTTTCATAATCTTTCCATGCCCATTTAATTAACTGCAACTCTTTTACTCTTCTCCTTTTCTTCTGGATAATTCTTTACATGTCAGATTAAGTTCCAAAGCTAAGACATTTTCAAACAATGTTTTGTTCCAGAGATTATGTTCTTTAATTATTCTGAACCAATCGGAATTATTGTCTTATCTTTCTTGAAATATGTTTGATTTGGAATAGAACAATGAAAAGTTTTTTCAACAATTCTTGTCTGAAAATTACACGAGTAATGACAATTTGGGAACGATATTATTATAAGGTTGTGTTTATTAGCCGCTTGTTCTTTATCTTTAAATAATTACATCCATTTTTTTTTTCACATTTACTGACTCAGGGGAAACATGTCAATAATCTGTCTCAGGGGAATGATGAATGTGATTTTACAGTGAGTTGTCCTGGGTATAGGTTGGATTCTCTTGTTTCAAATGTTCATTTAATCATGGTATATATTTTACGTTCAAAAACTGTTAAAATATTTTATTAATCGAATTATAGATTGATGTTGCTGATGAATCCATGGCGGTTGTCTGATCAAATGCACATTTATTTTACTTATACAAAGCTTTTAAATTTTGGTCCTTGTAGAAGATTTCTACATGTAGTAGTTGTTTGCTTTAATGATGCAGTAAGCACTTCTTTCAACAGTTTACTATTTTTTTATAAACAAGGTCCTAGATTAGAAAAAAAAATTTTTAAGTATTAAGATTTGAACCTTAAACATGATTATATGAATAAAATAAATTAAACTCTGACCTCCTTTCAATAATTTATTTGATGTGAAAGTTTGAGGATTTGCTTTAATAAGAATCAACAAGTTCATAGGAACCAAATGACTAATCTGCTTTCTGTGGGACTATGTATGTAATTCTTTTTTTTGTCGTTCACGATGTTCCTTTTTTTTCCTCTTTCGGCTGCACTGGTATATCAATTTTCTGCCTAAAAGGCTTAAAGAAGTTCTAATTGTTTCTTCGTTTAGTCAGTGATTAGCGACTTTCCATTCTCTTCAGCTGTCTCTTTGGAAATGACTTCACTTCATGTTCCCTTACAGACATTGGTCCCTCCTCTTAAATGTGAAAGCATTCCTATCTAAAATTGATCAGCATTTCAATTATTGCCATAGAAAAGAATGTTCTAGGGCTATGGTTTTTTTAATACCACCTTTTATCCTATCTTATGGAAGAGAATGTTAAGTTCTCTTCCCTTCAAACTCAACACACATTTCAGTACAGTGATGCTGGCCAATGATAGTTCTCATGGCCAAGTTTATAATCCAATCCTTGACATTTCAAACTACCAAGTCAATTTAATTTTAAGCCTGAAAACTAGGAGCATCAGTAGGATCTAAAATAATCAAATAGAAAAGCAGTAATAGGCATAGACCACAAGTAATTTGGAAATTGAAATACATTATTACATGCAACAAATAGTTTCCGAGTGGAAAATGCAAAGAGTGGACTCTGGACTCAATGGAAATGACAAACTAAAACACTTGAATCTAGCATGCTTGTTTTATCCTGAACATGCGAAGATTAAAAATCCTAGACTTCACTAAAATGACAAACCCGAAATCATATCACGTTAATTACATGAATATGATGGACTGGACTGAATACAAGGGAACCGCTAAAAACTCCATTTAGATAACTAATTTCCTTTATTCTCTAATTGATTGAAAGTTTCATAGCCAAGCATGCTTAAGGATATGGGTATGTTCCTGCAGTGCCAGCACCATGGCCAGGAATTGGCACCTCAAAACCAGGGTTTGGAACAAATGTGTCATCTCCACCTGGGATATAGCCAGTTCCACCAATTGTGCTGCCAATGTTGCCGCCAGTGTATGGATTGTGAGGTTTCAAAACTGGTGGCAGCATCACTCGTCCAATGCCTGGAATGAGCACGCTGCGATCATGTTCAATCAGCCACTCAGGCTGTTTCATTTGATCATCATTCTTTGGGTTGCTAGGGATATCACGTGTTGCAGTTGCTTGCCCAGCAATAGCAAGCAGAATGTTGACGATGAAAATGTGACAAAGAAGCAAGGAACTAAATTTGTAAGCCATTACCAGAGAACTATTTAGAGTTGAGAGTGAAGAGATAGGAGTGGCTCTGGGATGGTGGAAAGAAGGAAGAGAATAACGCTTCTTATAGGTGAGGTTTAAGCGAGTTGGTTGATCATTTGGCGGTGAGTTAAAAGAGGACTCCATTATGAAAAGACCATTGAAGGACACGTTGCAAAAAAAAAAAAAAAACAGATGCAAGCGTGTAATTGTGTAGCATGCATACGAAGGTTAGGTGGCCTAGGGTTGCCGGAGGGTTGGGTGAGATTTTGCGGTGAGTTATGAGATTTTTCTCTTAAAGGCAATTGCCACTTGCCGGTGCACATTAGTATCTATAAGCCTTTTCCTATAACTCAAAGCATCTGTTCCTTCAGTAGCTGACAAAAGCTGAAGAATTGGAGCTTGGTTAGCGCTTTTGCCAGTGAAAAGCCGTTTATAAGCAAAATTTTGTTTATACGGATCAATGCTATATTTTGATTATTTTCATTTCTATCACCAACGACAATGCCGGCTATTGAAGTGAATATGTTCTTTAGCATTGTAGATACCTGCTCTCTTTCTTCGAGATCATTACTGACAACTTCAAGTTGTTTTTGCTGCCTGCATTTGGCGTTACCCAACTGGAGTGTCTATGTGTTATGGTGACTTACAAAAAGTTAATTGCCACAACCTAAAACGGAGGCAATAAAGGATTTTATACATGAACCAGAGAGTTTTAATCCATTCTGCACATATGAATATATTCAATGTGTAAAAATCTTGGAGAAATGAACATTCCCTTTTGATATACCCAGGTACTGCTGATTTAACTTGCACTTTCATGATTTTACCGATAATTCAGTGAAAAGGACTCAACTCAACACAACCCGCTTTGGTATACCATGCCGACATGCCGCATCAAGTTTGCACTCTATAGTTTTCTATCTGGCTTTGACTAAGGGTTCTAGCATTGCTTGACTTGGGTTGATTGTGCATACTGATTGAGTGCAACCAGAGTTTGGATAATTTAAGGGGATTGGAATCATATTTAGCAGAAGTGTACTGATCGAGTGCAATAATTTTAACAAAGCTTCTTTCCCTAAAATCTTCTGTGCAATACAATAGAACAAATTGCTGTGGCAATGATTTACTTGCACAACATGAACACAACCACCGTTCACAAGGACTTTCCTTTCCTTGGATCTAGTGTAGGCTCCAAAGCCAGAATATTACCAACAAAACTAATCCAGTTTCGCTTCTTGATAATACAAAATTTATGGGTTTGGCCTTTCCTCAGAAAATCTCGGTAGCTGCACGAGTGAGTTCACTCGTGTGACACGTTCCAAACCTGACCAGTTTTGTTCTTCACCTGCAACTGTATCCACATTTCCTTCAAACTCTGGTGGTAGTCTTCCGTAACTATCACTTTCTTCTGATGGTCTAATGGTAAAATTCCTGTGCAATGATGGCTCCGACTTCTGGCCTTCATCAGATTCAACTGCATTACCAGGATGATTACTCTGAAGCGTTGCAGAAGAAAAGCAGTATTCCTCATAATCAGATTCTGAATCCATTTTCCCATCCAAAAATAAGCAAACAACTGCACAATCATCCATCTTTGAAGTAGGGTACTTTAATTTCCATTCACGTGTAGCTGAGTCGACCAAAATCCTGGCAGCTGATGACCGGGTAGGAGCTGAGGATACAATCTCAACCACCTCTTCATTGCTCAATACATCCCAAACCTGTAATTACAATTTAAATATTAAGGAGAAAATCAAATTATCATGTTTTTTTGTCATATCATGGCAAGCCAGCATTTCTTGAAGGATTAAAAGCCTCAAAGAAAGGCTCTTAAATCTTTATCTTTAATAGTACATGATTTTTTTTCTTTTTATTTGTCAAATACCTCAATTTTCCAATTTGTTGCCATTTGGCACTTGACCTTTAGTTCCCTTATCCAATAAGAATCTTTTAAGATACTCCTCTTCTGCCATATCAAAAGTAATTTATTTACGTGTTTACTGAACTGTGATGTCGAATATCATTATATAGAAAAACGGACAGTAAAGGAAAACAAGTAGAACTTCTTCCAGAACATATTGACATGTTCGGAAAAAGAACATGGAGAATTGGAAACTAAAAAAGAAAATATTAACCTGTGATAAGGGCCATTATCAACCACTGTTCAACTCTCAATCTTAGTGTGGATGTCACTATCTTGGTGTGCTCTAAGTGCAGGAGCACTCCTCATAAACCAAGTACTAAGTGCCATGGATTTGCAAGGGAGAGTTCTAAAACTACTAGAAGCCCATGCAAGGACCACACGTAACTTTCACCGTTGACTGCACCTTTCCATTTCTATTCAACTTCCTCCACTTTTACTCCTTTGAAAGTTTCAAGATAAAAAGGATTCATGACAAAGTTCTTATTATTCCAATTGTTTCCTCTTTTTTAGATCTCTTCAAGGACATGCAGTATATGTCATGGCCCTTCTTCAGACTTAATTTGAATCGAATGTCTAAGATAAAGGATAGTCTGTTGTTAAAAAAGCCCTTTCAGCAATAGCCAACACTCAGTATCCTATCTGGACACATCAACTAGAAACTACAAGAAAAAGAAACCCAACAGGCATATTCTTTCTCCTTGGAAAACAAGAGGCCTTATTCAACAATTGCTATGACCCGTAGACCAAGTAACTCAAATAGATAGTGATTTGCTTATTTTGGTTGATTCATCATAGTTCTTTCCCGCGGTGCTAATGTGTGTACTCATTTTTGTCTAAATTGGTTATTCTCTGTGTTTGAATTTTGATTCTTTAGGTAGTCTACTCTTGAGTTCTATTTGCAGTTTGCAACTTTTTCCTGCATTGAAGCTTTCTCTTTCTTTTACTTAGTAGTATTTAACATACACTAGAAAATGTTCTGGTCAACCTTGAATAAACCAACGAAATGTGGAAAAAAAATTCACATATAAAGAATAAAAGAAAAATCAAAGGTGAAAAAATTACCCCATCTGAGGCGAGAACAATAAATTGATCTCTCTCTGTTAGGAGCCAATGGGAAAATTCAGGTACAGAGATAACACCATATTCCTTCAAACAAAAATCCCCAAAAGCTCGAGCCATTGCTAGCCCAGGGGCATCATCAAATGGCAACCACACTCTAGGTACTTCAGGTTCATCTTGCGATGCAAAGACCCTGCCTTTGCACCTTTTAATCCTCTCAGCTTCCCCTGGAGCATTTAAATTTTAGTAATTAGTATATTACATCCGTTTATGTATACCCACAAGGAAAACCAAAAATCGGTTCCAGGTGTACTTGGTAAATTGGGTTTCAGATCAACTGTCAATTGTGTTGCCACCATTGAATCATTACCGACCTTAGATCCCATAATTGCTCGAGAATCCCCAATATATCCCATGAAAAGATTGGAGCCCTAAAATAGTAAAATCAAGCCAAAAGAATTAGACAAAAGCTAAATAATTTTAAGATGAAGAGCAGCAAGAAGTGCTTCTGTCATACCTGCTTCACTATTGTGACAGCAGTGCTACCACTACAGAAGCAGTCCAAATTAGGATGGGACATCAACTCTTTATCCATGGCCTTGTATGACTTCATGAATGCTTCCCTCCATAAAGAATTTAACCTGTCGTCAGCAGAGCCATCCTTCTCAGAATTGCTACCATCTGATTTCTTTGAATTCCCCTTGAAACATGTTCGGCCTGACCCATTTTGCCTTGACTGATTTGAGTGCATGGAGGACAGCAACTTTAGGGGCAGGGCATCTCTCACTTTGCCAGAAACGTGATGACCATGTGGACCATGGCCATCAAATACACCACAAAAGGTCACATCTTCTGACATGAAATCCTACATGAATTTTAATTTTTATCAATGTCATTTGAGTAGTTAACCTCAAAATATAAACGAGTCTAAGAATCAAATTATGTTAAAATCAAAGTAACATCTAAAACTTACTTCCCATACAATCATGGCATCCTGGTTTATTCCCTTGCGACCCTGCTGAGTGAATATGCAAGAAGTTCTGCTCTTTCCATTTGTGAAAATCCTGTTAGGTACTAAGGATAAATACTGCTGTGCAATAACATGATCTGAGAATGTTCTCTTAGTTCTCTTCTGCCCACAAAATCCAATTTCAAAACACGTAGGAGAAGCCCCCACCTCATGGCTCCCGGTACTGAAAGTACTCCGACTACTAGTGGAGACACAACACCCCATTTCCTCAGCTCCAGAAAGAAGACATCCAATGACGTTAAAACTCAAAAAGACAAAGTTCCTCCTTGAGCCAGAACAGATCTCACGTGAAATTATATGTAGTTGCTGGAATGGTCAAACCAAGCCAAAGACTATCACGCCAAAGATTCCCACACATCAGACCACAGGCCACTTTACACCTCAATGTATAAAACTGGGAAATTTTAAAACTTGGTCAAATATAATCCATTGAGGGTTCCGTAGATCGATAACAAATCCAGTTGTGAAAACAATAAGGTATTAGTTAATTGATTTGTTTATTCCATAGTTCCAGAAATGGCTGCAAGTAGAAAAATCAATAAAATTGAAAAAAAATGCATATAAAAAATCTTCCATGTGACATCAGAATAGAATATGCTTAAAGTCTGTCCTAATAGTTTGTCATTGATAAGAAACACATTGATACAATTCAGACAGTGAGACCCTATGTAAATTAATGCACAAACTACTTATAGAAAAAGGAAAGGCGGTAAGACCGAAAATCAGCAAAACAAGGAGAATTAAAACCAAGATAAACCACAAAACAAAAAACTTGTCTTGTTTTTGAAACAATTAAAGGAAACCATAGAATTTTTTTCCCTAGTAGTATCTTCAATCACAATGAAAACAACGAAGAAGAAGAAGAAGAAGAAGAAACAAAGTAAATCCAACAAGACCTTACTTAGCTAACAACAAGCAAAACTTCTCACTCACAGAGGCCTGTAAGAAACAAAGTCGTTTTTTTTCCTATCTCCATGTCACATGCACGCTTGGAAATTACTACTAGTATCGTTGGAGTGAGAGATTGCGGAGAAAACAAAATCAAAAGTACTGAAATATGAAGATATGCTTGAAGTTTTACCTTCTCGGCTTCTCCGCACACAAAGAGAACTCAAAAAGAGAGATCAAAACAAAGAGTAAGGGATAGCTGAGAAAACGTAAATGAAGGAAAAGATATTACAAATTTAGCAACCAAATATTAGATTATTGGAAATTTTACAAAAAGGGGCCAACTCGAAATAAAAAATGTCAATCAGGAGCAAACCATAAAAGAAAAAGTTGAAAACTAGGGGGAAAAACAAAGAAACTGATTTTAGTTTTCTCAGACCAAACATAGCATACAATTGTTTTAGAGAGAAGCGAAAGGGAAGGAAGTAGTTCAAAGTTCGAGTAGTGAGTTAGGGGAAAATCAAAAGATGGAGATAAAGCAAAAACGGAAAAAGCAGAAAAAGACGAAACAAAAGAATGATTTTGTCAAAAACAAAATCAAGAGAACACACAAAAAAGAAAATAATAGAGATCAAAGTAAACATAAACAACAGAATAGAAATTGCAAATTCATTGTTTTATTTAAGCAAAAAAGAAAATTTTAAAAAATAATAATGTAGAGATAAACAGAGCTGAAAGTTGAAACTTTCACTCTTAGAAATTCTCAAAAAGAAAAACTCTTTCTCTTTTCCTCTTTCTTCGCTGTGTTCTACCTCAAGTTTTCAAAACAGAGGAACAAGGACCTCACAAGCTTCTAACAAGCTTGAAGCTTTATTGCATGAGCATGGCTAATTTTTTAGAAACAACCCTGAAAATTTAGTAAACGAGAGGTGTTTGAGGTTATCACCTAGCAGTTAACAGAAACAAAAACCAGAATGAAAGAAAGTACCTTTGTTGTTTGCAAATTTCGTGCTCTTGCGAGAAACAGAAGCAGACACTTGAGAGAGAAATCTTTTTCTTGTGATTGCAGAGTCTTTGGAAGAACATTTGATCTAGAGTCCAAAAGAAGAGTACGAGCATGGTTTCTCTAACTCTTTTTGGAGTTGTTCACCAAGTTTTTAATGTATCTGTGTTCTTTACAAATCTTGTCAAGGGCTTTCAAAATTATCTTATAAATATCTCCAAGGTTAATGGTTTTAACATTAAGAGATCTAAGATTCAACTGTGTTTTTGTGTCACGAGCCGAGACTTAACCTTCAGATCCACGTGGCTCCAGGACTTGGACATGCACTCATCCAGTATCTCAAATCAGTCTACTTATCACGATTCACACCCTTGTAAGGTATTGTCTACTTTGGTCCATCTGACTTTACGGTTTTGTCATACAAAAGGTGTCTCACAAGAAAAATATGATATGAACCATTTTATACCACAGTGACCCCCTTTTCATGTTTGATATGGGATTGGAGTACTCTGCTTACTCTTTCTTGGAGTGCTTGGTGTGACATTCTTCTTGACCCAATCTCGTGATGCCTTCATCACAGAGGCTGGTCACCTTGCCTACCTCCCTTGAGGCACTTGGCGTGGGTCGAATGGTTCAGCATCTGCTCTGATACCACTTGTCACGGGCCGAGACTCAACCTTCAGACCCATGCGGCTCCAAGATCCGGGCATGCACTCATTCGGCCCAGTGACCCATCTTTCATGTCTGATGTTGGATTGGAGTACCCGCCTACTTCCTTTTGGAGCACTTAGCATGACACTTGTCTGCTGTGCAACTTCTTTTGGAATAGAATTGAGAAAAACTTGTTTCAAGTTGATATTATCAAATCCACCAAGTATGTAAAAATACTGGGAGAACTGCTGATAGTGTTTGTCAAGATCTTTTGGATGGAGAGAACAACATTTTAACTTAAAAAATTGTTCTCTGATCTTTTCTAATCTGTGAGTTTCTTGGCCGTAAAATATTGCTGCAAATTGAGATATAGCTTCTGTGATGGTTGGGCATTGAAGACTTCATACCAACATCTTCACAACCAAAACAATACTTCACTCCTATCCAGACCAACTAGAACAACCTTCTTTTGCACAACTAAAAAATGGATTCACAGATTTCAAGAAAAATAACCAGTTGATCCAAAATCAAAAAGAGTTGCAGAACAATTCAAGTTCTACATCTTAAAACCCTACACCTCACTCACACAGATCAAAACCTGTACAACTCATGATTTCTCCCACTGAAACCCTTTCAAAAATGATTCATCAGATGGCATAAGACAATCTCCTTCAATTTTCTCTTGAAAATATTTTTCTTTTTACATTTACGTGATAATACATACAAGAGATAAGTGCATTCATTAATTGTAAAGGTAGAGAGATTGAAAGAGAAAAAGTCTTTGTAGTCTAGAAGAGAAATCTTAACGCTTTTTTTTTTTTTTTTTTTTAAGATTGCCTTTAACTTTGTGAGTAACGATATTGAGGATTTAAATTGATTTTCTTAATAACGTATAATATTATAAATTTTTAAATTTTGATTAAAATTTAAATTAATTGATCTTAATTGAATTTTATTAATTTTATATTTATCAATTTTTAAAATTTAAAATTTAATTTTTGTATTATTTTTATATAAATTTTAATATTTTTAAATAAATTTAGATATAAAATGATTATTTTTATTTTATAAAAATTTGAAATACATAAAAAAGTTATTAAAAACATATAATTTAATTTGATTCGACTTTTTTAATTTTTTACTTTTTAATCTAAAATTCAATTCGAACTTAATATATAAATTTAATATTTAAATTTAATCAAATAAGAAAAAAATTGATATGAATCGAATTAGGTATTATGATTTTGAATTGATTTTTTATTTTTTTTATTTTTTTATCTCTATAATTAGCTTCGGCAAGGGTTTGAAAGCAAACAAGGACCTAAAGATGTGTCAAATGGGTCATACTAAATTGAAACAATTTATTTAAATATCAACTTATATGTTAATGGGTCATGTTGGTCTAATATTACTTTTTATCTTACCATGTTGATATGGCCTATGAAAACTAAGGGTATTTAAACCATGTAAACACCTGACTTATAATTTTCATATGTCAAGTTGTGCCAAGTATGACAGTATTTTTTGTGTCAAGATAGACTAAATATAATACATTAATAGTTTTTTAAAATTTTAATTATTTTTTAAATTCATCTATTATTATTAAAATTAATATGTAATAGATAAATAAAAGTAAAATGACATAATTTACGTGGTTCAACATTAAAAATAATATGTAATAGATAAATAAAAGTAAAATGGCATAATTTACGTGGTTCAACAAAATGCATACATCTACGAAGATGGACAATAAAATTCACAAAATAGAAATATTGAAATTATAATCTTAATATTTCAAAAAGAAAAAAAACCACGACATATCATAAAAACACAATAATATAATTCTATTTCTTATTCTCATCATCTAATAATTTTCTTATATAATATTTTTTGTCTTTTGCATTTACTTTATACCTTCCATCCTACAATAATTTATTTTGTTGATTGAATTTATATTTAACATGAAATCTTAATTTATTTTTATCATTTTATTTTTACAAATCACTAGTTAAATATAATTTATTTATCAATAATTTAAATATTTAATAAATAAATTTATTTAATATAATGTTATTTTATAAATTATCAATAATATATAAAAAGTAAATATAATTTCATTTTAATATAAAAAATAACATAAATACACCAAAGGTTAAGAGTTAACTTATAACAATTATGAACCAATATAGCACCATTGGGCTAATATGTCAGGCCATACCAACCCATGTGCTACATGCTGGCACTTACTATTAAATATTAATCATTGAGCCTAAAATCTTCTAACCCAATACTATATATATGTGTATATATATATATATATATGTATTTATCGTGTTTGGTTCAATCCAATTACTTAATAATAGATTGTGCCAAGTATAGCCTATAACATATTGAATCATGTTGTGTCATAGGTCGCTTAATCCATTAGACACCTTGAAGGATAGAAAAAAAAGAAAAAGATAAATTACAAAATTAGCCATTAAAGTTTTTGGAGGTACTTATTTTGATCCTCAAAAATTATAATTTGATTATTAATTCTATAAAATTATTTGTTAATTGCATATAATAGAATATCGAGGACTTATTTTAATATTATTTTAAGATATTTTAATATGAATAAAAAATAAAAAATAACTTATTATATTAAATTTCATAAATATTTGTAATCAAATTATTATAAAATATAGAGACATTAACAACGAAAGCTAAAATATTAATAAATTTTCGTATATATTAGTAATTAAATTGTGAAAAATTCAAAACTAGACAATCAAGATAAAAACTCTCAAAATATTAAATTATCAAAAGTTTTATTTATATTTTCTTAACATCCAAATTTTATTTTTTAAAATTTATAACATCACGTGATATGGTAATATCACGAAAAGTGCTATTAATCTCTAACAAGTAGGTAACAAAAAAATAATTAAAAAATATTGCCAAGTCAGACATTAATTAACATAAATTCCTGACAAATAGATGACAAAAATAATATTTCATAAAAGTTAATAATTAAATTGTAATTTTTAATGATTGTGTGATCAAAATAAAAAAAATTACTCAAAAATCTGAAATAGTTACTTAAAATTGAATGATTATCAATAAAAAATGGGAAAGGGAGAGCACACTGAAGTGGAGATTTGGTGTGAGTGGTGGCAGCATGCAGTGACATACGGTTGGGTTTGGTTTTTGGTTTGGATTTGGCCTAATCTATCTCACTTTACAGTTATAGATTCCCCAAGCTCTTTTTTTTTTTTTTTTTTTTGACACGTGCATCCAACAATTTTCTATACTCCCTATCATCCTTGACCAGCGAGCAACGACCCCTATTTCATCGTCCATTTTTTTAAACATTTGCATTTGAGAGTGATACTAGTGTATTGTTGCAAAAAATGTTGTTAATTTAATTATATCGGATTAAATAGGTTTAGAAAAGGTAAAAATTTGTCAGTCGTATAATCCAAGTATCCAACCAATGGGCACATGGAAGAATGTTTCATGTTAATCTTAAAAATTGTTTTTGCAATAATTATGAAGAGGATCTAATTATACTTATGTAAAATCAATGATTTCACCTCATATATATTAGAAAACGTATAAGGACGAGTTAATAACATTTTAATTGCATAAAGCATCTAGGTCAAGAGTTTATTTCATCATTTTATATGTCTTATAAAACTGAATTTTTTTTAAGAATTTATTCACCACAAAAAGAGTAATTAATTAATAATACTTCAATGCACTCAGTTTATAAATTTTGTTAAAATTAACATGTTAAACGTAATTTCTTTTGTGATTAAATAAAAAATATAAAAAATTAAAACTAAAATATAAAAATAAAAATTTATTCCAAAAAATCAAAACTACAAAAAAAAAAGAAAAAAATTTAAATCAATAATAATAAAAAAAAAAAATAAAATTAAGAGGTAGTAAAAATGAAAAATGAGAAATTGTAAAAAAATGGTGAAGTCTATCGACTCAAGATCTAATCTCTTTCCATTTAGGTTGCTCTTTCCTCACATTCTCATTCCATTTTGATTTATAATTATTTTTTTAAATTCCTATTTTTCAACAAATCTCAAAAATGACTTGCCTAATTATTTGATTAATGGAAGACAACGTATTTAAATGAAGTAAATTTCAGTATCTAATTGTAAATTGTTATTCATTAATTATGCAATTGACAAAAATGGTATTGTTTAAGAGAGCGAATGACTATTTAATCTCGTTACTAGTATAACTAATCTCTAATCTATAATATTTACTGTAATTTAAAGTTAACCTCAAGTGGTGTTCTAGATGTGCCATTTTTTTTTAGATTGAAAATTCACAAAGTTTAATTGGTTTTGACTGTTGAGTGTTAGCCTTAAATTAATCATTGTTTTGAAATAATAAAAACTTTTTATGTGTTTTTCAAACTAAAATAAATTAAATGTAAACTGAAAAGAGC